TTCTCCAGGGGATTTTCCCAACCCAGGGATCGAACCTGGGTCTCCTACATTGCAGGCAGATTCTTTACCGACTGAGCTACGAGGGAAGCCCCAATGGGAATATGAGACATATAATATGCCATGTTGCTGTCTTTAAGATTAAAATGAATCAACAATGATTTCATTAATTTAGATTTTTTTTTTTTTTGGCCATATCACAGGGCTTGAGGGATCATCGTTCCCCAAACAGGGATTAAACAGGGTCCATGGCAGTGAAAGTGCTAAGTCCTAACCACTGGCTCTCCAGGGAATTTCTGACATTAATTTAGTTTTAAGAATTTCACACCTGACTTTGAGGTAACTGAAAATCCCAGGGGTGTCCCAGAGGTTGCTGATCAACCAGAGGTTGCACCAGCAAGGAATATTTGTTTTTTACTATCTTTTGGTCTTGGGATTAATAATCATTAATTTTATAATAATATTTTTTCTAATTATTAAGAATCATTAGAGGACTTCATTTATTATTTAAAAAAGTCATGACAGTTTTTTTTTAAGTCTTATGATTTAGGTTTAAATGAAATTTGGTTCTGGATTGTTCTGTAGCTTGACATTTATGAATGATATTTCAGGTAATATATGTAAGAAAAGAAAATTTTAAGGGAATATATATGATATGGATTTGAAATTGCACTTTTTGGAATTAAGAAAGCTAGACTGGGAGTATTTTTCTATTTTTTTTCCCTCAGTCCGAGATTAACTTTGGTATTTGGCCCTGACCTCCCCTGAGCTCCACTGTTCCTATAATAATAACAAGCTCTCAAGCCCGGGACTGCTGCAAAGTGGAGCTGATGTTTGTACAGAGCTTTGAGAATCTTGGCAGGGACATGCTGTGTGAACACTGGATACTGTTTCTAATCTCCTGCTGTAGAAAGGCAGAGACAGGAGGTTAATCTCCAACCCCAGGGTTTCAGAGAGAGAAGGGAAGTGACCAGAAAGCCTCACAGTCCCTTAGAGAGCAGGACAGAGGATGTGGGCTCTGAATCCTCATCCTGATTCAGCTGACTTTAGCACAAGCAATGATGCTGTGGTGTGGGGCTCAGCCGGCATCATGGTGGACCACGTCCTGCTGGAAATTCGGTGAGCCCCTTTGATGGGCATGTTGGCAGGGACAGCATCTCTAATTCCCCAGGTCTGACCTCAGAAGGACACTGAGGTTGTAAGGAATGTCTCCAGTTGGGAGACCCGGGTTTGATCCCTGGATTGGGATCCCTGGAGAAGGGGATGGCAACCCACTCCAGCAGTCTTGCCTGGAAAATCCCATGGACAGAGGAGCCTGGCGGGGCCCCAGGCCATGGGGTCGCAAAAAGTCAACACAACTGAACGACTGACACACACACTCCCCACCAGGAGTTCCCACAGAAAGGAGTGTGAGTCTGTCTGGGAGGCAGAAAGAGGACTGAATGTTCTATCACGGGTTCTGGTCTGAGGCAGCCCTGGGCTAGGAGGACAAGGTGGCCCTGCTCATAGCTGGTATAAGCCTCTCATATTTGTGGGGTGAATTAATTTCCCCCAAATATCAAGCTTCCTGAAGCTCGGCCTCTGGACTCCCTCGGGCCACAGCTGTCCATCCTGCTGCTGGAGGTGCGATGGGCAAGACAGATCTTTCCAATGGAACCATCTCTCCCCTGGGGCTTGGCCCATTTCTCTGAGCATAGTCTGCACAGCTGCTGTGTTTGTGGAGATTTGCCCCCGCAATCTGAGCTCCCCACCTTCTTCCTTGGCTTCGATAAAGGTGACCAGTTCCTATCAAAGAGAGACTGAATTCCAGAAGCAGATTGATTTGGAGATCTTTAGGTTCCAAGCAGGGAGACACTGTGGGTTTGGACTCACTGACTCTGCACTCACTTAACACTGATATTAAAGACGGGGCCAGAGTGTAAGAGACCAGTTCCAGTCAGTCTGCCCAAACATGAGTCTGTCCCCAAGGCTCATCGCCTGCAGCTTGCTCCCTTTGCTGTCGCTGTTTGGTCGCTCAGTCCTGTCCGACGCCTTGCGACCCCATGGGCTGCAGCACGCCAGGCTTCCCTATCCTTCACCAACTCCTGGAGGCCACTCAAACTCATGTCCATTGAGTCGGTGATGCCATCCAACCATCTCATCCTCTGTCACCCCCTTCTCCTTTTGCTTTCAATCTTTCCCAGCCTCAGGGTCTTTTCTAGTGAGTCAGCTCTTGACATCAGGTGCCCAAAGCATTGGAACCTCAGCTTCATCTTCAGTCCTTCCAATGAATATTCAGCATTGATTCCCTTAAGGTTTGACTGGTTTGATCTCTTTGCTGTCCAGGGGACTCTCAGGAATCTTCTCCAGCACCACAATTCGAAAGCATCAATTTTTTGGCACTCAACCTTCTCTCACATCCATACATGACTACTGGAAAAACCATAGCTTTGACTGTATGGACCTTTGTCAGCAAAGTGATGTCTCTGCTTTTTAATATGCTGTCTAGGTTTGTCATAGCTTTCTTTCCAAGGAGCAAGTGTCTTTTAATTTCATGGCTGCAATCACCATCCACAGTGATTTTGGAGCCCAAGAAAATTAAATCTGTCACTATTTCCACTGCTGTTCCCTGCTTGAGGTCTATTTTATATGTAAAAATATACTTTTCATATATATAAAGAACTAAAACCTCAGTCATTAGAAAACAAACAACCTGATTAAAGAATATGCAGAGGACTTAACAACCACTTCACCAAAGAAAATGTATGGATGACAAATAAGCACATGAAGAAAAGCTCAATGTCATTTAGTCATTAGGAAAATGTATAGCAAAAGCCATAATGAGATACTCACTTTACAACTATTATAAACATTTCAGTGTGATTCTACCCAGGACTGGAGATGATGCCAGACAGCTGGAATGCTCATGCATTGCTAGTGGGAACAGAAAATGATCCAACAACTTGGTGTCATAGAAAGTTAAACATACACTCACCCTATGACCCTGCCATCCACTCCTAGGTATCTACCCAAGAGAAAAGAAAATGCTTTTCACCCCCAAACCTACAAAATTTTTATAGTCACTTTATTTATAATCACTAAGAATTGGAATGAATCCAGATATTTTACCTGGTGAATGGATAAAAAAATAATTGTGGTATATCCCCACAATGGAATACTTCTCACTAATAAAAAATGAACAACCTACCTAGAATCCAAAAAGGTGTTTCAATAGGTAAAAGAAGTCAGGATGGAAAGGCCATCAACTGTGATTCCATTCTCTGGCATTGTGGAAAGGCAACATTATAGGATCAGAAAGCAGAGCAGTGGTTGCCAAGGATGGGGGAGGTGGGAGGGTTGATTACAAAGCGCAGCCTAAGAAAATTGGGGGCAGTGAAGCTGTTCTGGTATCTTGACGGTGATCATGATTATCCAGCTATTTGATTCTAGAACTGGACACAGAAGAGTGAATTTTATTGTATGTAAATGTTTTAAATGTAAAAGTGAAAACAAACCACAAATGCTGCTCTGGGTTCCCTTCAACGTTTCTGAGATTCAGACCTGCTGCTGATGGTAGAAGTCTCCCTGTTTTAGCCACTGTTGTGTCCGACTCTTTGAGACCCCATGGACTGCAGCCCGCCAGGCTCTTCTGTCTATGGAATTCTCCAGGCAAGAACACTGGAGTGGTTTGCCAAGTCTCCTCAGCAGGAGACAAATTTATTCACAGGAAGGAAATTGTATTTGCTTTTCAAAGTGGGCAGACGAAGAGGAAGAAGAGAGAAGCTTGTGAGTTCCAAGTAAGCATGGTAAATGCTTTATTAGTTTGAGCTCTTACACTGTCAGTCTTCATATGCACGGTTTTCAATAAGTAGTCATGCAGTTTTTCTTAATCCTTTAGAGTATAGCTTTCTAAAGTCCCTATCTCTTTAAATTTGGTGTTCAAGGGTCAAGCCTCACAAATATTATCTAAGAGAGACGGTGTCTCATCTGGAGTGTATCATTCCATCCTTTTCCAGGCATCATGCATATTTCAATACTGTACCATCTAGTGAATCATCCATCTGCTGACTCCTGATTTTTTAATGACAAAGTTGGCATCACTGGACTCCAGGGAGACTCATACTGGGCACACCCTCCTGTCTTTCTGAAATGTCATTTAATATTATCCTGCATTATTCCTCAACTGTCCGCATGACAGATGGTGGGATAATTCACTTTCAGGTCAGATTTCATAAGATTCTGGATTCCAAATATTTCTAAGTCCACTTCTACTGCAATTGGGTCATCCATACATCATCCTTTTGACCTTCATAACCCAATCAATTAATGGTTTTGTTAATCTGTATCCTTCAGCCCCTGTAAACCATGCTAAATGATTTCATTCTATTATGAGGAAAAATATGCAAGCTAACGACATTTAGCAATATAATTTAAAACTGGATTTGGTGCTTCACAGAATAAGAACAGATTAGAATGTAAAAGGAAATTCTTGGAAAATATTTTTCCATTGGATAAAACTTATAATGTCCTCAGTAGTCAGCAGATGCTGGATATTTCATATTAACATATTGTGAGGATCTTTGTCCAAGACTCTTGATTGATATTCAAGATCATTTATATCCATTTTCATGAGATAACAATATCACTGGATGGACCAACTCTCCAAGAAGAAACTGAGTTAGAGCTGTCTTTGCTTTCCTTTTGTTTCGTCAGAGAAAATAGGCTGAAAACAAATAGGTCACAAATCAGTGAAGTTTGTTGCTGAGCCTCTGTCATTTGTGAGGTAGTCATGGCAATTTTGGAATTCCCTGGCTGGACAGGTGTGAGAGTCTAGAGCTTCAAACACCAGGCTGGCTTGGGTATATCTTCAACTGCCCTGAGTCAGGGCCATAGGCCTAAAGCAGATGAATTTCTCTTTTAAAATAAAACATGAGATTCATAAATTAACATAAACTTGAAGATTCCAAACTCGAACTGATTTTTCAGAATAAAATTATTATTAATTTATATTCATTTCCACACAGGAATGGACAGACCACAAGTTACGCTGGAATCCGGATGAATTCGGTGGGATTCATTCGATTAAAGTTCCGTCAGAATCTCTCTGGCTTCCTGACATAGTTCTCTTTGAAAAGTAAGTATCACAAGAAAAATCCGCTAGTCCGATGAGGAATGGAAATAGAAAAACCCAATTGTGCCAAAATAATTAAGATAAAGGTACAACCTTGACGAGAGAACAGTTTGTTCCTTTTGGAAATCTTGTTTGATGCTGGGATAGGAAAGGAATAAAATACAAATAGGACAGCAGTTGGCGGGGGGCGGAAGGCGGGGGTGGGGGTGGGGGGGATTGCTGCTAATCTGTGTTAGACTAACAGCCCAGCGAACCGTCTTTCCACAGTGCGGACGGCCGGTTCCAAGGCTCGCTCATGACCAAGGCTGTCGTCAAATCGGACGGCTCCGTGGTGTGGACGCCTCCCGCCAGCTACAAGAGCTCCTGCACCATGGACGTCACCTTCTTCCCGTTCGACCGGCAGAACTGCTCCATGAAGTTCGGATCCTGGACTTACGACGGGACCATGGTGGACCTCGTCCTCACAGACGAGAACGTGGACCGGAAGGACTTCTTCGACAACGGGGAGTGGGAGATCCTGCACGCCAAGGGCACGGCCGGGGGCCGGAGGGACGGCGCCTACTGGTACCCGTTCATCAGCTACTCCTTCGTGCTGCGCCGCCTGCCCTTGTTCTACACGCTCTTCCTCATCATCCCCTGCCTGGGGCTGTCCTTCCTGACCGTGCTGGTCTTTTACTTGCCTTCCGACGAGGGCGAGAAGCTCTCCTTATCCACCTCTGTGCTGGTGTCCCTGACGGTCTTCCTCCTGGTGATTGAGGAGATCATCCCGTCTTCCTCCAAGGTCATCCCGCTCATCGGGGAGTACCTCTTGTTCATCATGGTCTTCGTCACCCTGTCCATCATCGTCACCGTGTTTGTCATCAACGTCCACCACAGATCTTCCGCAACCTACCACCCCATGGCCCCCTGGGTTAAGCGGCTCTTTCTGCAAACCCTTCCTAAGTTACTCTGCATGAAGGACCACGTGGATCGCTACGCTCTCCCAGGTAAAGAGGAGAGGAAACCCGCCGTGAGAGGTCAAGTCTTCGAAAGAAAAAAACAAAAGCAGATGAGTGATGGAGAAAAAGTGCTGGTTGCTTTCCTGGAAAAGGCGGCGGATTCCGTCAGATACATTTCCAGCCACGTGAAGAAGGAGCATTTCATCAGCCAGGTGAGGGAACAGTTGGGAGAGCCGACTGAGATTTTTAATGTCTGTCTGCAACAGACGGGGTCCCTGTTTCACACGTGACCTTATCAGCTACCTATAAGGCTTCACACAAGCCCTGACACAGAATAGGGACTTCAGTATGAATTTTCAGGGAGACCTTCACAAAAACAGAATGAGCAAAAGAGAAGCAACTCTAGATTAAGCAAGACTCCTTCTCATTAGATGTGAATCTATTTAAATAATTCAATTCTCCATTGAAGTTGTTTGTCCAGGTCTCTGGTCTCTTATTTCATTTTTGCGGGATGATGGATAGCTCTATTCAGAATATTTGGAAATCAGAAAACAGAAAGAAGCCTTATATTAATACAAAAACATGATGTAACAACAAGTATTTAGTTCACAGATTTAGTTTTTAAGATGTGGAAAGGATGTGGATTTCTGACTCAAAACAGTCCTGCTTGCAGATGCTACCCGTGTTCCACGTGACTTGAGAAAAGCTACTTAGCCTGAACTTGTTTCTGAACTCTCCCTTGAAGGGAGGCATTACTGACGTCAAGTACAAAATATGTACCATGTGCCCATAACACATGGTCTCATGATGTGCAGACAATAAACATTAATCCTCATCTCTCTTCTCTCCATCCCTCCCTCCTCTAAATGCTCCTTCCCCTGAGGAAGACAAATATTATTTGACATATAAATACTCAGCACAAACGGTAGTCTGCTGCTTAAAAAGAGTTAATATTTATACCAGTTTATACAGCTTCATTATTTTACTCTAAAATCAGTGAAAATGAGTGCCAACAGCTAATGCCATAAACAAACTTAAGGAAGAATAGGTTTTTCAACAAACATCTTCTGTATTTTATATGGGCACTGCCTAGAACCTCCTCTCTCTTACAATTTGTCGTTTTTTAAATCAACTGAAAAAATTTTTTAAAGCACTAGGGAAAAAATTGCTGCTATGGAACAAGCATTTCAGCTATTCTTAAGATTTTTTATTTCTTTATTTACATCTTTTAGAAATTCTAACACAAAAATTTAAACAGTTTTTTATAGACTTCCCTGGTGATCCAGTGGTTAAGATTTCCAAAGCAGGGGATATGGGTTTGATCCCTGGTCAGACAGCTAAGATCCCACATGCCTTGTGGCCAAAATAAATAAATAAATAAATACCGAAGTAATGTTATAACAAATTCAAAAAGACTTTAATAGTGGGTCACATCAAAACTAAAATATTAAAAAATTTTTTTTATAAAAACTAGCTTTTAAAAGATTATAAAAATAACACATCATTGGCATAAGGAATTGGGAAAATATGAAGCATTTAAGATGATTCATATCACTAATAATCCTCCACTTAAGGTTGACATTTTAAAAATTAAATGTGTTTATTTTTAATTGGAGGATAATTGCTTTACAATATTGTGCTGGTTTCTGCCATATATCAACATGAATCAGCCACAAGTATACATATGTCCCCTCCCTTTTGAACCTCCCTCCCACCTCCCACCCCATCCCACCCCTCTACGTTGTCACAGAGCTCCAGATTTGAGCTCCTGCATCATACAGTGAGTTTTCACTGGCTGTCTAATTACACATATGGTAGTGTATGTGTTCCAATGCTACTCTCTCAGCTCATCCCACCCTCTCCTTCCCCACTGTGTCCACGGTCTGTTCTCTCTGTCTGCGTCTCCACTGCTGCCCTGCAAATAGGTTCATCAGTACCATCTTTCTAGATTCCATATATATGCATTAATATGTGATATTTGACACTTAACATTTTCATCTTCTTCATGGTTTTCCCTAAGGTTTTATTTCTAAACCTCTACGTGCACAATATTTTCAAGTTCTACATCAGCATTTATGTTCCATCTAGAACAGTGGGCATCCTGCTCAGCACTGTTTTCACCAAATCCCCAGGCAGTAGGAATGGGACGTTTATTTTCCCTTGAAAGATCACAGGCCTGGTCTCTGAGACTCCCCCAGCCCGCAGCTTGTCCTGGTCTGGCCTGGCCCTCCCAGGCTTCAGACCAGTCTCCCAAATTCCCTTCCTGCAGAGGGGCTAGGTCTCCTCTGTCCCTCACCACTTCCTGTCATCTCTGCCAGAAGTGTCCCCCATAGCCCTACCCAGCTGTGGAGTGGGGGAAAAGAAGTCACTGAAATAAGTGACCACACAGATCCTTAATTTATAAATTCGTGCTATATTTCCTATGTCATGTCAAGAAGCATCACAGTAGGAGATGCTGGCTTTTTATTCGGGTAAAAATCAGGCCTTTTCCGCTTTAGTCAGTAATGTTTACAACTGCATCAGTGATTCTGTTGTTTCTGTTTTACGTCCTCGATGTTCCCCTGAACTTGAGCCATGCGCCGTTTTCTTGGGCATCAACCGTGAGGTCCCAGGAAGCTGATGTCTCAGGGGAGGTACCAGGTGCATTTGGAAAACTAGAGGGCTGTGATCCAAATAGGATTCCTCTGAAGTCCCTGAACTCAGAATAGCCACGCAGCATCCTGAATGGAAGGTGTCTCTTTCTCTTCGGCAGGTGGTGCAAGACTGGAAGTTCGCAGCTCAAGTTCTCGACCGGATCTTCCTGTGGCTCTTTCTGATCGCCTCGGTCACCGGCTCGGTCCTGATTTTCACCCCTGCTTTGAAGATGTGGCTACACAGTTACCATTAGGAGCAGGTCTCCAGAGCGATCTAACACATGCCCCTAAAGACAGAATCACACCTCAGAGCTGACATCCAGCCCCCATGTGTATACAGCATGCACACGCACGTGCTCATCAGGAGGCCCCGAGGCTGGACAGTGTCTTGTGTCATCCTCAGCGAGGCTGAACCTCGGTTGCCATGACAGCGAGTTGGGTGTCAATTAAGCAGACCCTCCTCAGACCCCGGCTTTGGCTTCCACAGACCCTCAGGGAGAAACTGTGAGTCCGGGTCTGAGATCGTGAGCCTGCAACACACAAGGACGGTTGCTGTGTTTCACCAAGAACTCCAGGAAAGGGAAGACTCCAGCATTGGCTGGTGTCCTTAGGGGTTTTGCCTGGCTGCCAGCTGGCACTGGCATCATTATTCTGTAGCCATGCGCGTGCCCTGCTGGTGAGCCGTTTGGGGCATCACACTGGCACCAGGGCACGGCACACCTGTCATTACTAAGATTCCAGGAAGACTGGTGACTCGAGTCCCCCCAAACCTGGCGTTCGTTCCACATGGTCTGTCTTGAGTGTGGTCCACCTCTAAGCCAGGTTCCTCGTGGCTCCTTCATAGGCTCTTGAAGGTTTTCAGGCGGTCACGCCAGAGGCTGCTGTGGATTGAGACCTGCTGTAAGGTCATAGCAAAATAACTTGCAGTAGAAACAGTGTCATCGGCTGCCAGGAGGGCAGTCATTATACCCATTCTCTTTTGCTAGAAAGCTGAAATTCTGAACGTGCTCTGATAATGGTTTTTTATGTCCCCTCATCTAGTCTAATCCATTTCAGCAGCATCCTCCGGGCTGCTCACCCAGTTTTTTCCCTCCCCCTCCCCTCTCCACTTCTTCCTCTGAGAACACTTCATTTCTACTCTCTTATAAATTTCAGTTATACAAAGCAGTGTTATCAACAGTGGTCACCTTGTTTTACATTAGATCCTCTGACCTTATTCATCTTATAACCCAAAGTGTGTACCTTTTTACCAACCTCTCCCTATTTCTCTGCTGCCTAGCCCCTGGCAACCACTTTTCTCTGTTTAAGACTGTTTAAGATTTGTTTTTTCCTAGATTTCACACATGAGTGAGATCATCAGTATTGTCTTTCCCTGTCTGCCTTATTTCAAAGCAGCATGTCCTCTGGGTTCATCTATATTGCTGCAAATAACAGGATTTCCTTCTTTTTATGGCTGAATTGCATTCCATTGCATATATATCACATTGGCTTTATCCATTAATCTGTGGACAGATAGACACTTAAGTTGTTCCATGTCTTGGGTGTTGACAATAATGCTGCAATGAACATGAGGGTACAGATATCACTTTGAGAGAATTATTTTATTTCCAGGAGTGGAGTTGCTGGAGCGTATGGTGGTTCTATTTCTCATTTCTTGAGGAACCTCCATACTCTTTTCCGTAGAGGCTGCACCAATTTACATCCCTACCAGTAGTGCCCAAGGAGTCTCCTGTCTCCACATTCCTATCAACATTTGTTATCTCTTACCTTCCTTATGACAACCATCCTAATAAGCATGAGGTCATCCCTCAAGGTGTTTTTTTTTCTTTTTTTTTTTCATGTTATTTGGCTGCATCGGGTCTTAGTTGTGGCATGCAGGGTCTTCATTGCCTCATGTGAGGTCTTTCATTGCAGCTCACGGACCCTGTAGTTGTGGTGGACAGGCTCAGTTGTTGCTTGCGTCACGTGGAAACTTTGTTCCCTGACCAGGGATCAAACCTGCCTCCGGTGCATTGCAAGGTGGATTCTTATCCACTGGACCACCAGGGAAGTCCCTCGCTGTGGTTCTGATTTGCGTTTCCCTGATGCTGCATTTCCTTTCATCTACCTGCTGGCCATCAGAGTGTCGTCGTCGGGAACATATCTATTCAGATCCTTGACCCATTTTTAAACTGGGTTATTTGGGTTTTTGCTACTGAGATGGTCCTTGCATATTTTGAATAGAAACCTCTTCCTGAATGTGTATTTTGCAAACGTTTTCTCTCCTTCTGTAGGCTTCCTTTTCATGCTGATGGTTCCCTTTGCTGTGCAGTCCCATTCCTTCATTGTGCTTTTACTGCCTTTGCTTTGGTGTCAAATCCAAAAAAAACCCGTCACCAAATCCCATCCCATTTCATTTGCCTGGTCCTGCCCTCCGAGAGCACCCACCCCACCCTGTCTCTGAGACTCATGGGAGAGGCTTACAGACTTTTCTCTCACAGATGCCGAATCCTGGATTTTAGCCTGAAACAGCTGTTCTCCTTTCCCGGTTCTAAATCCAAATCCTTCTCTGGATTATTTTGTGCGGGGCTTGTTTCTTATGAACTCTTTGCAGCTGGCACTTAGAAAATCCGGTTTAATTATTTAACCTTTTCATGCAAATTCTTACCACTAATATGTTGAACCTTATTTATGCCATTTTGTTTGTGTTTTCTGTATGATGTTTTCTTGTTCTTTTTTTTGCTCCTTTTCAGCCTTGACTGAATTTCCTTTCCTTCTTCTTCTTCTCTAATGATTGAAAGGGATGCACCCTTTTCTAGTAATCTATTAATAAACACATTTGAACCTCTTTTTTTTTGACCTATTGTTGAGAATTTTAACACCTGTCCACTACACTCTAAACAAAACCAGATACTAAATCACTTTCACCTCCCCCCTTTCCTTATCACCTTTTGTGTTTCTTCTAAATCAGCCAGAATTTAGCTCATTATTCATTTTTTATATTATGTGTCTTTTTCTTCTGAATAGTGTCTTGACAACACATTTTATCCACAACCCCACTGGTGGTGGTTTAATCGCTAAGTCATGTCCAACTCTTGTAACCCCATTGACTGCGGCCTCCCAGGCTCCTCTGTCCATGGGATTCTCCAGGCAAGAATACTGGAGTGGGTCGCCATTTCCTTCTCCAGGGGATCTTCCCCACCCAGGGATCAAACCCAGGTCTCCTGCATTGCAGGCAGATTCTTTACCAACTAAGCTATGAGGGAAGCCCAACCCCATTATAAACCATTAATTGTATTATTCATTTCTTGGTTCACTGTTGTTGTTGTTGTTGTTTTAATCTTAAATTTTCTCACTTTTCTAATCCTGTTTTTCCTGATGCATTTCATTTCAGAGGACTCCATCTCCAAGTCATTTTTGCAGGAAGTTTTGAGTGTGTTAGCCTTTCTGAATCCCTGCATTTCTGATATTGTCATTTATTCTGCCCTCACAGATTAGGTGGACTGGGTGTGAAATTCTGAGTTTACAGTCGTTTTCCCTCAGAACTTTGAAGACATTATTCTACAAAATCCCATGTTATAAATGAGAACCATGGTGACAGATGATTCTTATTCTTATTGCCGTAGACTCCCATTTTTTATTTCCTGAGACCCTTAGGCTTTTCTCTTGATCTTTGGACTTTAGAAATAATCTCCTGTTTGCTGTATGTGGACTTGCTCTCTCTCTGTCTCCTTGTCTTGGCACTCGATGAATAATGTCTTTTTTCAACTCATATAAATATTCTTATTTCCCTTCTTTTATTATTCCCTATCTCCCATTCTCCTTCCCCTTTCTTTCTGAAATTTCTAATAGGAGGATCTTGGTATTCCTATATGTCTTATTAACTTTTCCCTCCTACTTTTTATTTAAACTCTTTACATTGTCAGCTTGATGTTGGAGCTGACTCATTTGCTTCACCGTCATGGTATCTTCTTCTATCTAGCTCACCTACCCCGGTAGGGGATTGGTATGCTTGTAGATAAATCATGTATTTGTTTTCTAAGAACTCTTTAATTCTTTTGGATGTCACACCCTCTGGACTATCTTAAGGATACTAGTTATAGTTACTTTAAAGTCTCCTTCTATTGTTTACATTAAGAACTTTTCTTCAGGGGTTGAGCTTGCTGATTTTTGATGCTTTTTCTGTGGTCATTTAACTCAAATATTTGGAGTTTTTTTTTATTGTTTAATCACCTGACAGGAAAAGCAGTTTTTCGTTACAGTAAGTCTGGCCCAAGCCACTTTTCTTTACCTTCTTATGATTAAGCAAGCATTTCTCTAAGGTGTGAGAACCCCTCATCTTCTACATTTGGGACACCCCTTCCTTCATGGTGGCCGGACGTGAGTGCAGGCACTACCCTAATTCTCTGATCTGGCGCACACTCTAGTTTTTCGTGGATCAAAATGACCACACCAGTGAGGACAGGCCACAGAAGCCATGTGAGAGTGGACAACCACAGCACCTCCAACCTTCGCTCATCTCCCTCACACAGAATCTTAGGAGTATTGTGGGGTTTTGCTGGAAAAGATGCAATTTCTTTGGCAGTCACAGTTCTCCTGCACGGAACCGCAACGTCCATTGCTCTGTTAGGTTTGACCGTAAATCCAGTCTCATCTGTCCTATGCCTTTCAGCCATCCCCACCAATCCAGTCTGTGAAAGCATCTCAGCCATCTTTTCAGAACTCCTATGCATTCGTGTTCATTTTACACATCTTCCAAAATATCAGTGGGATTTGGAGGACAAAAAAGAAGAAGAAAAGGAAAGAAACACATCGGCCAGCCATTTATCCTAGAGCTCTTTTCTAAATCTGAATCCCTATAGATGGGTCCAATTGTCCATGGCAACTGGACCCTGAAAAATCAGCCAAAGTGATATCACACCATGAGAAGAGTGGGGTCTCTTTGAAGGATTGAATGACCTTGACTTTGCTGCCTGGTGGGTGGTGGATGTGAATGTAGACTAGAAAGATGATTCTGTTGGGAATAGAATTGCGAATTTCTCAGCAAGAAAAAGTAATGCATGTCTTGACGTTAATGAGCCATCAGTGTTCAGATGCGGCAGGAGGAATGTGTGCACTCTCTCCAGGGCCCTGCAGACCTGCTCTGTCAGTCTTCTGGATCTTTGCTGAAGTCTCCAAACTGCTGTTCCTGCCTCGAGGCACTCACCATCCTGTTCACACCAACTAGCCCTTCTCCTTCACGCCCAGTCTCTCCTTCCCTGTGCCCTTGATCCCA